TTTTTCTTCTCTTCTTGTTGTTGTTTTGATAGTAGATTTGTTCTTGTATCAATTGTGTATGTCATCAACATAGGTTCTGTGCCCTTCAATGGTTTTGACTACAGCTGGTCAGGTTTTCTCCTGTTTTTTTTCCGTTTGTCCAGATGTCACATGGCTCAACAAATTGAGTCAAATCCCAAAGCTTTAGTGTGGAGTTGTTAAAGTAGAAAGAAGTTACTTTATAATTTGCAGAAAACTAGATATATTTGTAGCAGCTTAAATAATCTTGTTGCTTCTTAATTCAGTGCTTAAGTGCCCCAAAAAAAAAAAAAAAAATTTCAGCAGCTCTGATTAGATTGAATTTAATTTTCCTGATTTAGATATTAAATAGAAGCTGTAATTAGCAGCTGATTCTCTTACAGAGCTTTATTTTTAGGATAAGCGTGGATTTTATTCACGCTCTAGCTATTCTTTGGGTGCTCAGTTCATACTGAGATTTCAGAAGCACCAAAAATAAACACAGTGACAGGCTGACTTCCAGGACAGCTCCTTTTGAGCGATATTTGTGCTGCAGTTGGTTATAAACCTCTTTGTGGCTTTTTCTAGGCCATCTTCAAGCTGGCGTCTGGAGTKGGCCTGGGCCTGGAGGCCTCAGCGGGTCTGGGCTCCCCTGGTTTCACAAACACTCTGGCCTAGGCCACTGTCTGAGCAGCTTTGTGGGAGACAGGGCACAATTTAAAGTTATTTTCATTGYGGTTGTGCCTTCAGTGTGTGTTTTCCCTCCTTTTCGCTGTGGTTATGATGAGGGATGGATGAGGCAGCCGCTGCGCCACGACATGGCGGTCGCCGCCGGGCCGAGGCTGCATCTCCCTTCCTGAGGGATAGGGGGCCTGCGGAGCCGGAGGGGAGGGGGAGCTCATTTTTGCTTTGGTTTCAATAAAGCCATTCAGAAGAAAAAAAGAAAGGGAAAAAAAGACAGAAAGAAAAGAAAAAGGCTTCTTTTTTTGCATTTTTTTGCCCTTATTTTGGGGGAATTGGCATTGACGCCTCCATTCTCCCTCCCCGAGCCGTTGCTGTTCGGGGCGGATTTGGCGGGAAGGCGCCATTGAGGTTCTGCCRAGGCCGCTGCCTCGTGCGGAGGTACCCGGAGTCGATTACTCCTGCCCATCTGGCTGCTCTTCTGCTTTCAGGGAAATTTGGAACAACATGAGGACTTTTAGGTGTTTCCTAGGCAGTTGTTTTGGTGTTTTGGACGGCTTTGGACTCGGGTCTTTAGTGCTTTTATGAAGCCGCGTGACCACGGCCAGGGAAGCACACRCTGATGAGCACGATGTTGAAGTCCAAGGGACTTACCTGACACCAAACCATCTACTTTAGCAAAATTAAACTGTTTTTTTCTTAAATCTTTTTCTCCACTTGCTAATTAACACCTCCATGTATTTTTGCTCTTCCTAGATATCCGCGGCATACAAGAGTTTCTGGACAAAGTGTCCCAGCAAGGCATGGACGTGGCCTTGCAGAAGGTGGAAAACAACATCAATAAAATGATCACGGGGCTCTTTGCCACCATGAGGATCGAGGAGCTGAACCGGTACAGGGATACTCTGCGACGGGCCATCCTGGTCATGAACCCCGCCACTGCCAAATCATTCATTACAGAGGTAGGTGTCCACCGTGGGGAACTTCCTACCACACCTCACCACRTCTGCAGCTCTTTGAAAGGTTCAGCTTGCTTAATAGAAAAAAAAAAAAGGTATTTAAATAGTCTCTCTTCCAAGATCATCATCAAAAGGCTCTTTTTTTCTTTTCTAAATGCCCATAAATGTGCATCCAGAGCAGAGTGTCCCTGCATCCAACATGAACAAAAGTAGTTAGGAAATTTGTGGAAAAAAGCTCACAAACTTCTTCTAAATTTTTATTTGGAAAAAAAATATATATGTAYAAAATGCATGTGCATGGTTGGTCTTTCACCCTTTTATGTGAAGTAGAGTTTACTAATGAGCTATTTCAGTCAACTGGGTAGTGGAAGGGTAGTTGAATTTATCAATATGAAAGATGAGATCAAAATTAGGGATATACTGTAAGGTAAGGCAGTACCTTACAATAGAAGAGGCAACTTCTACGGCACAGTTGATTCCATAATTGCATAATTTCTCCGAAAGAGACAAATTCCAGCACTGAGTTGTTTSACGTGTGTTTATATGAAGAACTTCCTATAGTAATTTTCTTTGGCTGTACTTATGTAATTCCTCTTCATCTTTCCTCTTGCCTGGGAGTAGAAAAATTGAAGCATAAAAAAACCCTAACCAAATTTATGCAATTTCAAGTGAATTACTTTGAACAAGAGTTTGGAAAAGAATTTGTGAGTTTGGAGTTTTTGTTTGCTTTTTGGCCGAGTGTTCTTGCACACTGAAGCTTGCTAATTCTGAGAAATGAGGATTTGTTTCACTATCCAAGAGTTTGTGTTACCTTGTTGGAGGTGAACATTTGTGGGCATGTTTCAGGATATTCTGCACTGTTTTCATCATGCAACTTGCCACGTGGCTTTTTTCCTTTTAAGTGGTATTGACATTTCCTTCTGAAAGTAGTCATGTCAAGACTCTAACTGCAATAACTTCATGAGACAAAGCTCCTATGCCTGTTTTAAAAGGAGTAGTTTTAATTACTAATTTTTACGTGCTTGATTGTAGTAATCAAAGTATTGTCTCTTGAGTTTGCATGAGCTGAACTTCTAAAGTCTTTAAAAAAAAAAAAAAAAAGGTAATGAAAACCTGAAAACCAGCTGCACAGGTGCCATGTATATATTGTCAAGTAAGTATGCCGTTTATTTAAGAGTTCTCATTTTGCCATTATTTCCTTCTGGAAAGACTTGTAKTGCTCATGATATTCTTCTGTGGGCAAGATTCAAGGAGAAAACCTCCACTCGGGGCTACCTTCCTTGTTTGTCACTGTGCACTTTGCTTCACATGCAATGTGTCTCCAGGAAAATTGGCAGTGGAAGTCTCTTAGTAGCAACAATTGCTCAAATAGAAGCAAGTTTTTTAATATATTTTCTTACGAATAGTGTGGGGGGGTGAACTACCTTTCACAGCATTTGTGCCCCTATAGGTCTTATCTGCCTGAAGGGAAATGTGCTAACATAGCTTCACCAATATATAACTGAAACTGTCCTTTTGCAACTGAAGCAGAGRCTGTACAGGATGGGCAAGCACATTACAAAATCTACTGTCAATGCATTAAGATAATCCTAAATCAAACWTGAGCATGCTTAATCCAGAGTGTGCCTTGTGCCTAATTATTTTACATTTCGAATTCTGTTTAACCTTCTGGAATTAGCTTTCCAGCATATGGAGTTAATAAGAAACAACTGCATATGTAAACAGACCCTCCATTTTTTTTTAATTCTTTTATTTTATTTTATTTTATTGGCCTGAGAGATTCATTTAGCTTCCTAGCTGGATTCAGCTGCCAGCCTYTCTCTGTCCAGACCTCCCATCTCAAACAGTCCCTGTGGCTTAGGCCCTTCTTCTTGGACTAGTGATTTGGCTGAACCCCCTCATTGTGTAGCTGAGAAGAGGGCTCATTCACTCTGCAACAGCTGTAGTCAGCGTGGGCTTGATTACTATGCAAGCAACAACTATTCCCAGCTAAATAGTCAGACACTAGCTTGTGTAAATAGGCATTCTGCAAATTGGAGATTCCTTGTGATAGAATTTATCTGTGTTCTGACTCTTTGAATATTTATCTATAAATAAGAGCATATAAATAAGAACCCTCTTTTTTATTTAAAGTAGTTTGGCTTTTGGTTTTGGGTCTTAGCTAGCTGATTCTTCCTTTTTTTCCAGCTTTTGTATGTATAAAGCTTGCAGAGATTAAGTCTCTACTTGCATACTCAAGAAAATGAAGATTAAGATATAAAATGCAGTATTCTGATTATGGTGGTGGTCAAAAGAAGTTTTTCTTTTCTTTTTAACAGTGAGGTAATTTGCCCTCTGTAGGGCATGAAAGCATAGGAAGACTAGGCATGGGGAGCACATACCACTCCTTCTCCCCTTTTGAGCTGAGGGATATGAATAATATATGAAGAGGGGGAGAGAGAGATTAACCAGGTTCTGTTTGGCTCTTCACTGCTCTGTGTGTGGATGGAGGTGTAGAAGGTTCTGCTAAAACAGAGGTCTCCAGTGAGTTAAGGAGTTAGCAGGTAGGCACCTTTCTCGGGATCAGTTTATGGGAGCATCTGGGAGAATTCTATGCCAGGGATGCACAGGTTGAGTGTTTGAGTTTTTAGCAGGGAACAATCTTTATCTTCCAGTAATTATCCAGCTCTTATTGCTGAGGCAAAATATTCCCATGCAGCTTTCTTTTCAGTGGCTGAAAAGCTTCTCACAGCCAAGTAGCCACAGGCCCTGGTGAATAATTTGAGGCACTTCTTATTTTTACTTATTTTCATTTTTGTATTTATTTTTGTATTTCTGTTTGTGAAGGGCTTTCAGGACATGAGAAGCCGTGCAGGGAGTGAGGAGTAGGGATCTATAAGCTCAGCATGAGAACTAAACTGTGGGGTCAAGTGGCACAAGGCCAGGGTGAACGAAAAGAGGAAGTATTGCCTGCTGTGCTCCAGCAAATAAACAGGAAAAACAAACAAACCAAAAAAGAGCAAGGACACTTGGGGACAGGAAAGTGACTCTCTTCATGTCAGTCACTGGAACAGTAGCCAAGGCTCTGGAAAGGGAATAGAGAAACCACCCCAGGGTTGAGTCTGATTTGCAAAGCAAGGACTTGTAAAGCCAAGTATGAGAAGGCTGAGTAGGAGAAGGAGCAGGCCAGGAAACCAATTTGGGAGAAAGTGTAACAGCTTTGAGGAAGCCAACAACCCTCCATAGGGTCAAATCACTGCCAGTGTGCTTCTGCTTACAACTTTATGTCTATTTAACTAGAGAAGCTACTTTATCACCTAAGAACAGAGCGAAGAAGTGTAATTTTGTCCGAAGACTCTAGGAGCAGATAACAGACTACAGGAGATGGATGTTGCAGGTGATTCCAGTCTTAGATGTGGCAAAGGAGAATTATGTTGGTTAACAGAACAGCCTTTACAGGATGAAAACCCAACCAGTCATGGGGGAGAGGAACCTAACTCCAGCCAGGGATTTGACTGGAGATTGGTCAGAGTTGATCTAGCAAACCCTGGCAACATGTGGAAGCCAAGAAAGATGTCATGAGGACTGGAGAATTTCAAGCCATCAGTGTAGCAAGTGGTGTCAGTTCCCATACGTGACAGAGTACTGCTGTTCAGCAGTTTTTCTCACTCCACTGCGTGCTTTTGTAGTTAAAAGTATTAAACTTTTATTATTCCAGGGCTTAGGTTCTGTAATAAGCTGAAACTTTTGAACCCCATATTGCCAGGACTTTATACATGCAAGTAATTATGCTAGAGGTGTTGCAAATGTCTACTATTAAACTCATATTTAAAGTCGGTCTGACACATAACAGAATTGGGGCCAGATTAGTTGACATCTCATTAAATTGTGCAAGGTTCTTCCACTCCAGCTGGTGAGCAATGTATTAGCTGCAACATATAGTTGCAGGATATACTAAGTTGCAACATATGCAATATGCAAATCTGCAACAAAACTAATTGCAGATTTTTAGCTGGCCAATCCGCAAATTTTAGGAAAGTCCTACTGTGTGTGTGTGTGTGTGTGTGTGTAAGTATGCTTGTTTTACCAACCTCTGTATAAGCTGTTATTTGTCAGTGTTCACTCTCAAATCAAAGAGTTGAAAGTTTTCTAACTGCAAGGCTTTAGTGGAATTTACTGTGCATAATTTGTGCAAATTATTTTTTTCTACTGAAAGCTGATTAGATTAACTTGAATGAAGAGAAGCTACTACTTTCATAAATAAAATAACTTTTTATAAATGAAACTTTCAAGTAGACCGGGGAGATAGAATAAATCATGTGAATGAGGTACTGAATAATAATTCTTGCCATGTAGTGTGCGAGTGGAACAGAAAAGTGAGTGTGTATACAGCAAATACAATTTAAAAATTCTTTATATCATTGAACCTCCACTTTGCTTTCTCYAATGGCGACTGTGAATATAATGAGAAATAACATTTATTCAGTAAGATTACATTAATGCTGGTGGCAAATGCTCCAGTTTTGATTATGCCCTCTGTTGAAAAACAATAGGGCATTTTAAAGTATTTGAGTAAATATTTTTTTCACAGTGATTCTGTTATTGTTTTACTAGATTTCGACTTGAGATCTGATTATGTAGCAAATCATGAGTCCTTGAGAGCTGAGACTAGATTTTGTTATAGTGTTATGTAGAACTCTTAAGCTGGCGCCTTTCTTTAAACTATTTGCTGAGAAACAGGAGAGACTATTCAACTTTTTCTCAACAAGGCTCATTCTGCTTTTTTGTGACCAAGGTACATGGAAACTTAATCTTTTTTTCCCTTATTCTATGGTGGTGTCCTGGTTGAGTGTTTTTAGACATATCCTTAGGGATGTGACAGTGACATTTGTCTGTTTTTTGGTTTTGTTTTTGTTTTTTTCCCCAATTTCTTTTTGTTAATGGAGAAAATTACCCTGTGCTTAGACAAGAGCATTGATAGAGAGACGTGACCTGAAATGAATTCAACTAGAAAATACAAGTTA